TGGCCAGCATGTGACTCCACATCCACACAATGTGGTTCACTCTTAGCTGCCATTTAAAATGGCCTGTTAAGTCACTCAATTAAAAGCCATTAAAGTATAGGCAATAAATGCTAGCCTCTCTCCAGCCTGAACATGCCTTGGTGTGCCCATTTCCCACTGGGTGGTGGAGATCCCCACTGGAGTCCTCCCTCTTTCCCTTGTGAATCTTGGGTGGAGGGCGTTGCACACAGCAATCCCAAGCAACTGCAGATTGTGGTGATTCAAGGACTCCCAGCCCAACTATTTCTTTTTTGGTGCTGTGGAGTCTGTGAGCCATGCATGTATTGGGTGTGGGTGTTTGCATCCCCTTTTTAGTTATCTGAAGAACCTTTTTGTGTTTTTGGTTGCCCAATGCTCCTGATTTTCGAGCACGCAGTGTGGAGGGAAGCGGGCAGGTCAGAGGATCTCCTTGTGAGTCTGATCCTGGGCCTGACTAAGCTGGCCATTAACGGGTCCAGGCAGAGGACCATGGAGAAGGTCATTATGGTTGACTGTGTGTCCCTCCTCCACGGCTGTGTTCCTGCCCGGGTGTCCCTGGAGAAGGAGCATGCAGTGTCCACCAACACGCTCGGTGCCTTTAGGGACAGGTGGGCACTGCGGGGAGTGAAGTGCTTTATTGCCCCCTCCAACTCTGTTTTGATTTGATCCCTGACCTTCCCTTCACTTTTTTGTTCAAATAGGCATTGGCCCTACGGGGCTCCGCTTGTAACTGGCTCTTTGGTCACATGATAACACAGTGTGGAGCTGGAGGAACACAGACTCCAGCATCAGCATTTCTTACTGTCTAGTTGGGCACATGCGTGTTTTTCCTGATGGTCAAGGTCAGAAATCACATGACACAAGGTTATAGTCCAACAGGTTTATTTGAAAACACACGCTTTTGGAACCTCGCTTTGTGGAATTTACTCATCTGGTGTTTTCACTGTGTCTTGCACCTATGCACGCACACAACATGGGTGCTGTGCAAAATAAGCTCTGCTGCTGTATGGCAGTAGTTAGGGGTGCAAGACGAAAAAAAAAGCTCGCCTCGCTAGAGATGGTCACATTCCCATGAATAATTGAGAAGAGGTGAAGTTTTACCAGTTTGCATGGTGAGTTGTGGAGGAAAGGGGTGTGGTAACTAATTGAACTTTTCAAACCCTGAATGCTATTTTTAGGACTCTGATTTAGAAGTGCTTATTTAACACATTGTAATTTACAGTAAAGACTTTGTGTCTGAACTTCAAACATTTGAAATTACTTTGCTGAACTCCCTCACTCATGTTGGCATTGGTGAACACTTCATGTGCAACAAAAAAGAGCCCGTTTCAGATGTTAGAGGAAAATAAGATGGATCTACAGAATGTTGTAAACCATGGGATTTATAATTTCCATGATAAATGTTAGGTCTTAACTTGAGGCATTTGAAAATGGCATGCAAGACCTGATTCTAGATTTTGCATCAGGGTTTGCCAATGTATAATAATCAACTCGGTAGTGAGCCCATGACTAGATTTCCAATCTGGCTGGCTTCAATGGGCATAGGGATCTCATAGCCCAAATTCATACAAATTAAAAGGGTTATTGCCAATGTCCCACAATCAACAGTGGGCTAGAAGATAATTAACATGTTTTGGTAATACCTGAGGACTAAAGCTTCGCCAAAGAGCAGGAGCATTCACTACCTTTCTCCCAATAGTGCCACTGGGCTTTAATTCTTCATTTCAACTAGCGTAATCAGCGCACGGGAATTTGCTTGTTCATTACGCCCAGATGTTGGCATTTGTAGCAGTATCATACTCCCACTCAGCCATAGTAGCATCTGTTTAGATTATGGTGGAGGTCTCTTGGTACAGTGGATTGTATCTCTGCATTTGAGTCAAAAGTCACATGTGAATATTATAGTTGTTAATGTCTTTAGCTGTACGCATACCGTTGCAATTATAATTCTGGTGTGAGACCAAGCCATTGTAAAACCATAGTCCAATGTATTTTAATAACTCAAAGCATTATCAGCAACTTTCCTATAGTTGCATTAACTACCATTCACTACTGTGTTCCTTTCTTACTTAATAAATGTGCACATCTTGTTTCTATTTTTCCATGACTCTGGTGTTTTCAGTTTCCTAAGAAATTGCTCACTTTGGCGTTCAGGGATCCCGGATATGTTTCTCATTTTTATTAAAAAATAGTTTCTTCTGGTGATGTTATTTACATTAACCTTATTTGTTAAGAAATATATAGTTTTCCTACAACGTTTTGAGATGTTGTTTAACCCTGCCATATAGCCAGCAATTGACACCTACTTGAAAAGTAGTGTAAAAGGGTGGTGACATGTCATTGAAAAGTAGGGGAAGTGATAACATGGCATTACATAGAGGTACTCGCTTCCCCCTCTGTTGAACTCTCCTTCCCACTCCATTGAACTCAGTCTGTGCTTCCTGTACCTTCCATTATCACTCTGATATGGCCTGGGACCCAGTAATGATAATTGACCTTCAGCTAGTATCGAATTGGCAGCAGCCATTGCCTCCCCAGTGAGTTTGCCGATCACTGGAGTTCTGGCTTCTGGCTGGCAGCTCCTAGTGGATGGAGTATCTGCCCTTGGGGTCCTTGAGCCTGAAAGAGGTGATCACCGTCCAGTTAAATGCCTGAATATTACTTAATACAGCAGGCCTTCCCTGAAAGAGGTGACATGGGGCTCTTGCTGGTACAGGTTGAGTTCAATAAATTTCGGATGTGTGGAGAGTGAAGCTGAAATTTTGAGTCCACCCTTCTCTACCCAGAGAGTAGTTGACTGTTCCTCAGTGGTTCCCACTGCTACCAGTGACCTCAAGGCCAGCAGTTCTAGGTGTTGAATTCAACAGTATCATTTACATCTGGGCAATCAGGCAGTTTTGGCAGTAAGCTGGATGCCATGTTTGGACTCTTGATGGAAACGAACTGCATGTTGTTGTTAGCAATCTTACAGTTCATTTTAGGATAGAGTTCCTGCTTGTGTTCTAAGTGTTCATTATCTTCTTCTGACCACTGCGTCTGGCTGGCTGGTTGCCACCTACTGAGAGGTCAGAACATCGGCAGCAGCAACATGGAAACTGAACATGAAATATTCAGAAAGCATCAAAGATTTATCAGAGAATACAAATCTTGGAGACTCTTTGAAAACCTCCTTTCAGACCCCGGAGCAAACACTAAGATGTTCTGCATTCTCAAAGGTGGTCAGAAACTAAGAGCAAGACTGATGGAACTGTCCAGACTGAGAATAACCTGAAGAAGCTGCCCCTGCTGCAGTCAGCAGGGTTAATATCAAGGAGGATTTGTAAGCGGTGGACAGTCATTAGAACTCAGAGATAGTAGGAACTGCCGATGCTGGAGTCTAAGATAACAAGGTGTGGAGCTGGATGAACACAGCAGGCCAGGCAGCATCAGAAGAGTAGGAAAGCTGATGTTTCTGGTCTGGACCCTTCTTCAGAAATGGGGACGGGGAAGGGGGCTCTGAAATAAACAGATAGAGGGTGAGGCGGTGATAGAAGGTGGATAGTGGAGCAGATAGGTGGAGAGAAGACGGACAGGTCAAGGAGGCGAGAATGAAGCTAGTAAAGGTGAGTGTAGGTAGGGAGTTGGGCTGGGTGTTTGTCAGTGAGGTGGGAGGAACGGATAGGTGGGAGAAAAGGCAGACAGGTCAGGGAGGCGGGGACGAGAGGGAGTGCTGGTCTTGGGATGAGGTTGGCAGTAGCTGTTCCCAATGTGGCCTATGCTACATCGGAGAAACCAAGCGGAGGCTTGGAGACCGCTTTGTGGAACACCTACACTCGGTTCATGACAAACGACAACACCACCCAGTTGCAAACCACTTCAACTCCCCCTCCCACTCCTTGACGACATGTCCAGCCTGGGCCTCCTCCAGTGTCACAACGATGCCAGCCGAAAACTGGAGGAACAGCACCTCATATTCCGCCTGGGAACCCTACAACCCAATGGTCTCAATGTGGACTTTACAAGCTTCAAAATCTCCCCACCTCCGACCTCATCCCAAGACCAGCACCCCCTCTCGTCCCTGCCTCCCTAACCTGTCCGTCTTTTCTCCCACCTATCCGCTCCTCCCACCTCACTGACCAACCCCCACCCCAACTTCCTACCTACACTCATCTCTACTAGCTTCATCCCCACCTCCTTGACCTGCCGTCTTCTCTCCACCTATCTGCTCCACTATCATCGCCTCCCCCTCTCTCTATTTATTTCAGAGCCCCCTTCCCCTCCCCCATTTCTGAAGAAGGATCCCGACCCGAAACGTCATCTTTCCTGCTCCCCGGATGCTGCCTGGCCTGCTGTGTTCATCCAGCTCCCCACCTAATCATTAGAACTCTTTCTTTACTGTGAAGGTCTCCAATGTCATCTGTGATCCAGAGTGCACTCTATGGAACGAGTTGAGATGTGCATGCATTTTTCTTTTTCTCAAAGGTATACACAATAAGATCTGTGATCAGCATCCTGAAGGCAGAAGGTGGCTTTTAACTTCATCAAAGCCTGACGAACTTGAGATTGGAAAATTCTTTTATGCTGAGCTATACATTGTGAAGCCCACCAATAGTATGGATTTCCAGTCCAAAGAGCTGTCATTGACCAGATTCATTCTGTCAGATTTAAAATGTTAGTGCTTGAGGAATCCAGTGCAGAACCCCAATGGAGAACAGTCTAAGGCCTTTCAGTTATAGTATCTTGAGGAGCTGAACCTTGAGAGAAACCCTTTTTAAGGCCGGAAATGCCAGAGAATATTGGACATGACATGTAAATATACATGGTTTAAAAAAAGGTTGTCTGGCAGGCACATTACCTCAGACAATGGATTAGAAAGAAATGATCTGCATTGTACTGTACGTAATGTTAAATTTTGGACTGTTATTAATGTAACTTCCTTATAAATTTTATCAATTATATATGTGTAAAAATTCTCTTCTCATATGAAACCCTTTTTTATGTAGGTGTTTCCATATGTTCTCCTGCTTGGAGCAATCCTTATGTATATTCCAGCCTTATTTTGGCAGTTCACTGCAGCACCTCAGCTTTACGGAGAATTGAATTTTATAATAGAAGAGCTTGATAAGGCTTACAATCGTGGAATCAGATTAGCACAGCACATTGCCAGCACCAGTGGATTTGATGTCAATGGCTGGCCCCAATCCTTTGGGGAACCGAGTGGGTACGTAGACAAGCTGATTGTTGTATTCTGTATAGTGAAAAATAACTGCAGCTATCCCAAGCCTCTGCATCAGATTGATTGCTATGTTAAGCAAATTGTACAGAATGGTAGGTGGACAAGGTCATATTTTCTGTGGTCACAGTAACAACCATTTATTTAATGTTGATTTGTAGATGAATGGAAGATTAGCTTATTTCCTGACTTTTTTTTAAGCGTTTTTATTTGCAACATTCTAGCAAAACAAGGCTTTTGTGGGGGTGGATTGGGATCTTAAAATATGTAATTACGTTAGTGCAAATGCAAATTATGCAAGAACAGAAAGGAAGGGGAAATCATGGCACAAACATTTCTCAATTTTCTAATGAACAATTTAACAAGAATGAATGACAAAATAAGGCCAGTATTTCGCGTGAAACACACAATATTTGACAAATTCTAAAAGATCACGAACTGAATTCTCATTAGAGTTCAGCCCACCATTCTGACCCTGCAGCATTGTTGACCTACTTTTGTGGTTTGGGTCATTGAGCATGCAGTACGGTCTCCCAAGATGGAAGCTTTCGCTGCCAAATTGTGCTTGTTATATTGTTGGAAGAGATGAGCAAATTAAAGAGGCAGACAAATTCTGAAGAAATCACTTTTCTAATATATCAACAAATTTAATGTTGGTGATATGGTGGTAGGTCTCACTCCCTGATATTGCCATACTGCAAAATTTAATCGGATGTTTTCGCTCCTCCTTCAGATTACTACTCGCATGGTGAAAACTAAAATTTACTTAAAGTAATTCCAGTCTCATTTATGTTGACAGATGTGATAAGTTTAACACAGTTCTTTACCTCAAGAAAGACAGCAGTAAAGAAATTCATATTTCTTTATTTTTATGTTGTAATTTTTGATGCCCTGTTGACCTGAGAATGCAGCATTGTTTCCAAAAAACTACTTCTATAATAAACAAATTGGAAATAACATTGGCTAAACATTATTTGTTAGCCAACCAACTCTCTAAATTACAGAAAGATTATTCCCTTCTAACTTTTAATATAACTGAAATCACCATGCTGCATTTTTATTTCACTGCCGTTTTTCTGCAAAATAGCGATGTTTACAGGAAGAAGGCCAATCTGTCTCCCAGCTTCCAATTGGCTTGCTTCTCCTCATTTCACTTAGCAGTAAGATCAAGTAACCATTAAAAAACACTCCTCTCCATTTCCGGGGAAATATGAAACCAACTACCAGCTGTAAGGCCAGTTCCAGCATTACCTCTAGCTCCTGACCATGTCAACACAAATCTGACATCCCTTAGATTGTAATGGGATGCAGCTGCATCTCTTAAACCAGAAACTGTCTTTGTTCCCACATTTCCGCATGGTATCTCACAGAAGGGACTACAGTTGCTGCAGTCCCTTGTCCCTCTCTTTTCTCTTTATTTTTGTCCAAAATTTAGAGACTGTAAGTCTGTCCACAGTCAGTGCAGCTGATCTTGCCTTTCCTCTAGGTGTGAACACTTTAAAATTTTCTTTCTGTAGGCCTCACCCTGAGCCTTTTTGGCACAATATGTATCCAAGCAACCTGGCCTGTCATCATGCAGTGCTCAGCAGATCTTTTTGTTATCCTGTTTTGACTTGAATTAAAAAGACAGTCCCAAAGCACATTAATTTTATAAACCTTCGCATTCATAACAAAATAACTAAAATAAAACACCCTAAAAATAGCATATCATGCTCTAGGTTCTCTTAATTGAATGTTCTTTCTTTAACTTTAGTGCCAAGGAGAAAAGGGAGAACTTTTTCCAATTCCCAATCGTGGAGCGTTACTTGAAATCGAAAGAAGACTCCTGGAGTATGTTGACATTATATCTTATTCGCAAGGGCCTTGCTCTCACATTTCTTATACTTGCCTGCATCTACTTGGGATATTACATCTCTCTGACCTTTCTCACAGATGAATTCAGATGTTCAGTCAAAACGGGTATCTTGGGGAATGAAACAAGCATACCAGAATTTTTTCAATGCAAACTCATTTCTGTTGGAATTTTTCAACTTCTTAGTATTGTCAACATTGTTGTATATATCCTCCTTATACCAGTTGCAGTGTATGGCATGATTTTTCCTTTCAGAAAAAACTTCACCTTTCTAAAGGTATATGAACTTTTGCCACAGTTTGAAGTGATAAACATTACAAAAGGCTATTGGAATGACTTGAATCTGTACCTTCTATTTCTCGAAGAAAATATCAGTGAAATAAAATCACACAAGTGCCTTAAGGTGCTAGAACACATAAAAGGTAAGGGGTCATTAGAACCATCCATGATGGATGCAATGATGCCTTTAATTGCCCTTGGACAAGTGAAGTCGGATACAGTGGATGGTTTGGCCAAACACAAGAAAGCTGATCAAAAATCTGACCCCAATGTGGACCAGAATGCCACACAACTGAAAGGTAAGACTTTTAGTTGAAATAAACTTCAAAACAGACATCTTTCTTTTTACAATGAATGTAGGGATCAAAAGTCCTGGTTTCTCTTATACTAGAACACATGTTTTTACACTAGAAAAATGCAGATCATAATTTATACACAATATCCTTCTCGAACTGAGTGTAGCAACAAATGCCTTAATGATTTCAATGGTCTGGCTTGTTTTGATGGCCATTCTTCTGAACAGAAAACTATTTCAATGGACCAGAACTGAATAGTCTTAAAATTCCTTTTGAAATAGCAAGGAAAAAGAAGAATTTACATTACCGTTTGCTACAGGGACCTTTTCCGTTGTGTTTCCTCAGGATTATTTTCAAGTATCTTAAATTTTAAGGCAGTTAAAAGGAATTTTCCTGAGCTTTGTTCCCAGATGATAATCTGTTCTCAAGTGCAAAAGCCATGAAAAGAAGTGAAGAAGGGTCCAGACCCGAAACGTCAGCTTTCCTGCTCCTCCTGATGCTGCCTGGCCTGCTGTATTCATCCAGCTCTACACCTTGTTATCTCAGATTCTCCAGCATTGGCAGTTCCTACTATCTCTCAAAAGAAGTGACCATCCAGATCAATTGGTCTCTATCTCTTTAACTTTGACATAAGATTTCCTGAGTGAAAGTGGTTACTGCTTGGTTTGTATTGAAACATGGAGACATGGGCCATACCACATATAAGGAGCAATGAAGGAAGGTGGATATTTCTAGTTTCTTCCCTCATTTTCCTGTTTGTCAACTTACTGAGTATCTGAGGTAATCCTGCAGAAAGTACGAGGCACTCTTCCCTACCCTAATCTCAAAGGTTGACAGGAATCTTTGATCAGGTCAGAGCTATTCAGGTAGGGCCAATGTTTAAGCAATCCTGTGGAATCGATGGTTTCCTAACCTGTCTTGGAATTTGGGCTTGTAAAAGGCCCAGGCTCATGAATTCCAGTGATCTTAAGACAGAATGCCAACAGCACACATTGATGAAATTAAAAAGCAAAATACTGCATATGCTGTTTATCTAATGTGGGTAATGGATGTTCTGCCCACAGTTAAGACAACTGGCTGGAATCCTGTGTTACTTCTCCGAGTCTAAATGCAATAATCAAACATTTATCCTCTACTAGGATAATCCCGAGTCTCGTAAAGCAGAAATCCTGTTGCAAAGAGGTGCTAGCCAATTAAAAGAAACCAGTTCTTCACTACTGGCAGCACCAGGAGGAGCAGGGACCACTGTGAGAATAATGCTCGATATACTTTGGGAATTGCTAGTGGGAGCCCTAGAGAAAGTGTGTGTAGGCTGGGGTGAGAACTACAAGGAGGGGATCACTCGTGATGGGTAGGGTGACTGAGGTGGTAGTGCTGAGAAGCCAGGTCAGGGGAATAACTACTAGTATACCGCATCTATGAATTATTGCAATGAGTGACCCTCCAGTAGGCTGCAGGCAAAGTTGGGTGGTTTCCTATGTAGTGAGCGTCTTATCTGCATCTCTGGCTTAATATATAAAGGCTTCCCTTTTCCACCTGCATCAATCAGGAATAGACCACAAGGAACCATCCTGCATCATCCTCCCATTCAAAGGGAGCCCCTGCCTCCCATCCTGCTTCCAAAAGGGGCATTGAATTCTGCCCTAGATGTGCTTTCGTTTCTGTGCTAACACCCAAGCAAATACGGTGGATCATTATTTCAAAAGATCTACATTTATCCTAGAGTTTATTCCTTATAAACCAGTCACTTCTGTTCTAAAATGAATGAATTGGCAAAAACAAAGGCTGGAATATGGAATTTATTTACAAATAAAACAGACAAGTTGAATGAAAATATTTGGGCGAGCTATATTGATGAAGAATACTGAAACAAGATATTTAGTGATATCTATTCTATATTAAATTTGCTAAGTAAAGTTGCATTTAATTTTACAATACATCTAAAAATTGACAGGTTCTACAGAAAAAGAATCATTGTAATACTGAACCATATGTACTTGCAATGGTATTTGTTCCTATAGGTGACACTGTAGTTGCTAGTTTAAACGTGCTACAGTAGCACTGCATGGAAAGTATTAATTAAGACCTACAAACTCTTAAGAACCAAGTTTGCTGCATGACCCTTAAGTTTCATACTTGTTGGCAATTCTAAAACAACATGTTACTTTCTCTCAGTATATTGTGTCAGTTAGCTGAATGGAAGAACTTGTGACCCCAGAACCTACAGAGGACATTTCAATAAAGCTAAACATGTAAGAAGTTGCCCTCTTCACAGAAGTGCAAACCACTGACCCAAAGCATAAATCTTTGTTCCTAACTGTCGATTTGCTGATGGCTGTTAGTACGAATAAAGATCAAGCACGGTTTTTGTAAAACGGATTTGATAACTCCTGTGTTGTGCCTGGGAAACAAGTTAAAAATCTACCACATGATCTTCAATTATGCATTCAAATTACCTTACAGTTGAGTATTCAAATTAATACAATCTTTACTTCCACCCTAACTTCCAATCTCACCTCTCAAATGTAGGTATTTTCTCCTTTTATGTTTTTTGCATCCACCCCTGTTTTCAGTATCAGTGTACATCCAGCACATCTTGTAAACTGTTAAAGAATTTACTACTGATTTGCTATCAGAGTTAAAATCAATCCATGAGATAGAGAACTTGTACTTAATTCTTAATTACAGTAATGTGTATAGAGTTCTGAGAGCAAAGGAGAAAACAGAGTCAACGTTTTGGGTCCAGTGACCCTTCCTCAGAACAGAGGAAGGGTTCTGAGGAAGGGTCACCGGACCTGTAACGTTAACTCTGTTTTCTCCTTCACAGATGCTGCCAGACCTGCTGAGCTTTTCCGGCAACTTTGTTTTTGCTCCTGATTCACAGCATCCGCAGTTCTTTTGGTTTTTATAAAGTTCTGAGAGTCTTGCTGTCTCTGTGGAACTAGCATCTGTTCATAGAGATCCCTATAGATCCCCAGATAGATATGTTTTATTAATGTAATTGGGACAGACTGCCTTACTAGTTGAATTTTTTTTGATGTGGCCGAGGACTGAAAACCAGGATAACCCTCCCTGGACTGTTGACGTGCCTCAGGCTGAGCCTTTCAGTCATTTGGCAATTAATTAGTTGCCTCCAGTTCTCTTATTCCTTTGAAAGACAGGATCATGTTCCCAAGAGCTTCTGGCCAGTCAGAGAGCTATTGTGCTCGGCAGTGCCATCGGGGACAGTGAGCACTGATGGGAATATGCCTCAAAGTCAAGGATGCCATTTGGAGCAAACTCTCCTAGTCACATAGTGGGGTCTGGAGGTACTGGTGCTAGTTAGGCAAGTCCCTGCAGAATAGGTGATGTTGGTGAGGTTGGGAGGACAAGCTGTGAATCCTGGGGTGGGCTTTTCTGCAGAAATGGTCGTTGTCACCAGGTGGCTCCTTGGTACCACAGAGTTCCTGAACAAAAGTCCATAGGGAGCTGGCTATGCTTCACCAGGTTGATAACACTTAAGGAAAGCCCCAGCTATCAATCACTACTATCCTGTTTCCTCCCACTCAGCCAATGTCCTATCCAAGCTGCCACTATCCTTTTTATTCCATGAATTTTAACTTTACTGGCAAGTCTAATTTATGGTCTTTTATCAAATACCTTTTGGAAATCCATATGCACCAAAGAAACTGTGTTATCCCCGTCAGCCCTCCCAGTTATCTCATCAAAAAACCTCAATCAAGTTGACTGAATACAATATGCTTTTAATAAATCAATTCCTAACTAATCTGCACCTGTTCAAGCACCTGTAAATATTGTCTCAGTTAAGCATCTCTAAAATCTACCACCAACAAGGTTAAACTATAATTTCTGCATTTAGCCTTAAACTCTTTCCTGAACAAGTGTATATCTTTTGAAATTTGCCAGTCCTCTAGAATCTATGGGGAATTGGAAAATTCTGACCATAGCCTCTGAAGATTCCACCTTTACTCAGCACCCCATGTCTTCTGATGCACCCCATCCAGTCAATGTTATTGATCAACTTTAAGTTTAACCAGTCTTTAACTGTGCTGGATCATCTCTCATATTTCTAACCTTTATTAAGGTTGCAGAAAAGCTTCATGAAAATTGACCCAGGAGTGAGTAATTTCAGTTATAAAGATAAATTAGGACTGTTTTTCTTAAAGAAAATAAGAGGAGATTTGATGGAGGTTTTTAAAATTGTGAAGGTGTCCAGACAGAATAGATAGAAACAGTTCCCACACATGTAATGGTCGAGAATGAGAGGACACAGATTTAAATAATTGGTAAAAGCAGCAAAAGTATTAGAGAAAAATCTTTTTCTTGTAGCGAGTTGTTAAGGCTCTGGAATACATTGTTTCTGGGTATGGTAGAGGCAGGTTCGGTTGAGACATTTGAATGGAATTACACTGTAATCTGGAGAAAGAATGAGCCCTTCCAATTCCATTTTGATTTAACCCCTACTGCTCTCCCTACCCGTCCCTCACCTTTGATGGTTTGTATTGCCCTTAATGGGCTTTCCATGTATATTATTCATTGGTAACATGGGTGATTTACTGGTGGTGGTTAATTGATGGGGAAAGAAGAAATACCATGGGTGATTTGGTGATGGGGTAAAAAACCATTCAGGTGTGTGTAAGAACACTTCTGGATATATAAAAATAAGAGGAAGAATGTGCAGGGTTACACAGAGAAGGCTAGAGAATGGCACTAAGAGAACTGGGAGTTCAGAAAGCTGGGCAAATCAATGAAATGGTCTCATTTTGTGACGTATCAATTCTGTGTTTCTGAGATGATTTCTAAAAGAGTTCCCACAACTGTTAAAAGCAAAAAATGAACTAAACAGAAAAGGGATAGTAAGAACTGCAGATGCTGGAGTCAGAGATAACACTGTAGAGCTGGAGGAACACAGCAGGCCAGGCAGCATCAAAGGAGCAGGAAAGTTGACGTTTCGGGTCGGGACCCTTCTTAGGAAGAGTCCCGACCCGAAACATCAACCTTCC